GAATTTACAAGTCATAATTATTTTTCTGATTCCAATTTAATGTGTATACTTCATCTTTTGAATATTTCATTTTTCTGAGTGTACTCAAAATTTAAATTGCATTCCCGATCTAAATCATGTGACAAATATTGTGTATAATATTTTATAATGTTTTTATGCGTATATGTTCTGAATTTCCTTTACATACTTACGTACTTCTATTTTTGAAGTCTATTACTTTTGAAGTTTTTGATAGTATCCTCTTTTTGAATTCATTATAACTTTCTTCGAGAGCACAGACTTACATTGATTTTTGGTTCAAACTTTTGATGTTTGTTTACATATTTTTGAGTGGTTTTGAACTTTGACAGTATTTTGTAGTCTGGATAGTTACATAGATTCGTTGCGATGTATGCCTTGAGGGTCTTGTACTATCCACAGTTTCTTTAATTGAAAGTGTTTTCTTCATATGCATTTTATTTTCTTCTTGAGACTTGTCATATATGCTTTCCGCCTAGTTGCAAATCTGTGCGTATTGATAAACTCTTGAAATCTCTGGCGTATAAGTAAAACTCACTTTTGATATAGTAATTTATGTCTCAGTTCAATTCAATCAGTTCAATTTGATTTGAAGTAATTGTCAATTCCTTCTTGAGATTTTTCATATATGCTTTCAGCCTTTGTGCACATTTGTGCGTATTGCTAAGTCTTGAGCTTGGTTGCGACATAGCTTTCATGTTTCGCTATAGATTGTGAAATATCTGGTGATTTTGCTTTTGCATTATTGCATTTGTTTTGATAGTCTGCTCTCATAATTTTTTTTCCGACTTCTTATTTCTTTCAATTTCTGTCTTGACTTGAAGTAATCGCCAATTCTTATAGATTCAGTATAGTAATTCTCTTTCCATACTTTACACTGGTAAATTATTATAGTTTTTCTAATTTTGTAATATTTCATATTTGAACTTAACTTTCATTTTACAATTTTATGGTTATTCTCAGTGTAGACTTTGAAGTGCGCTGATGATATCAGTGATCTACATGAAAATATTCCATAGACTATAGACATTCTTGTCTAGGGCTTTGGAATGCACCTATGGTGACCCTAGAAAGTTGTCTTTCTCTCATATTTTTGCTTTAAATCAAAATTCGAATTCTTACCTGTCATATTTATTTCTATTTCTTGTTCACTAGATTGTTTTTTATATAACTCCAAAAAAAAAAAAAAAAAAAAAAAAAAAAAAAAAAAAAAAAAGTGTAACGGTTTCACCGTCCAATCGTATTTATTAAAAATGTAATTCTAACCTAGAAAATCGTTGGTTCTCTTTTGAGGCAGACTGAGATTGGAAATGCCTTGGCCATTAGGGCACGTTGCTAATGCACACGGTTCTTTTTCAGATTGGGGCCACCCCCTTTCTCTTTCCCTTTCACTTTGCCTAGCCTTGGCCAATATTTTCACCCATGCATGTGCCTTGGCAGCGCCATCGCCTTTAACTTCGCCTACAACTGGTCATGAAGCCACTATAGTGAGGTCACCCCTCACAACTGGGACCTCCACTTCAACCATCCTGGCTTCAGTCGAGTCAAAAGTGTAACGGTTTCACCGTCCAATCGTATTTATTAAATCACTTCTCGATTATCATTTCATTAATCCCATCTCTAGCTTTTTTGCTTGGAAAATTTTCCGCTTGGAGCGCTTGATGCGGAGTTCCTGATCTGCGATCTTCCTCGCGCTTCCTTTTCACTTGAGCCGCCGATCGAACAACGGCTAGAAATTTCTTCTCAGTAGCACCAGGTTATATAGCACCATGTGCTAGATTTCTAGAATGTGTGTCCGTATAGGACAAAAATGGTGAGTTTTATAATACTATACAGTTTTATTGCTGGATCTGCCTGTAGTTTATAGATAATCGATATGTAAGTGATTTAATAAATACGATTGGACGGTGAAACCGTTACAAGGGTGGCATTTGAAAAACCCAGTATATGGGTTCAAATGTCTAACCAGTTAATCTTCCTATAGAACGTATCAACACACTGAGAGTCGAATTCAAAACACCCGGTATATTTTGCATATTCAAATTCCTCCCAACGCCTGTTCTATGGATATTGCTCCTGCCAAAAAGGAATAAAACCGATTTTATTCTTCTCCGTCAGGTGATTACAGTACGGGGCTGACGACAACTCTATTGTTTCGAATCGTCCGTCCAACTGAAACGCTGGATCGGTGCCGTTTTAAACAAGCTGCAGAAACAAAGGATGCTCTGGAATGCGTTGCTGCCGACATTTTTGCATCGCATTCCGAGATTGGCAAATTTAATGACCTGTAAAAATGGACGTAATGTGGATGGATTTTACGGTTTGGAAAATATATGCAAGACCAAGACAAAAGTAGTTTATGGATTGCGATTGCTCTAAAAATATATCTTTTCTCGGGTAGGATGCATGGGTGCCCGCAAGGTGGTGCCAGGGAAACGGGCGAGGCGCATCGAAGGAGTCAGGTTGGACTTGTATACTTGGAAGTATTAAACTCGCGATAATATTCGAACTTCGGTTCACAAGTTTCCTATTTCTTAAAGATACAAGTCCGTGTTTCTCATTTATATCGGTGTCTCAGTCCGTGTCCCTATTGTATATCAATTCGTCATAAGTACTGAGCCAATCCACTTGAATTACTAGAGGTAAGACGAAATGGGTGGTACATTTAAGGATCATAAAATTCAGAAAAATATATGTGTTGATATAGAAACAGTTAAGTCATCACTTATAAAAGCTACGCAAAACGCTCAAGTAGTACGTACTACGATCATATACAAATATTGCTAAAATATATAATAATATTTTTCCTGTAGCTGTGTGTCAGTGACAATATCACTTGGAGTTTGTTACTCATTGCGCAATTGCGCCGTGCATTCAACGCCAACGATTGCAAAGTTATTTCGAATTATGTATGAGAACCTTATACAGGGTGCGGCAGAGAGGATGGACGGTTTTAAAAAAATTATGAAATAGTTAATTTTTACTCGAAAACAAATTTATTGATGGAATCAGGTTCACAAGGAAATAGCATTTGAGACAGTCAAGTGTAGAAAATCACATCAGGCATGTGGTGGCCGAAATCGTTGATGCAGTGCTGGAGGCGTTCTTGGAAGTTCGCGTAGACTCTCTCCAACATCGCTCTCTCAACTTGGGCGACTTCCACGCGAATTTAGTCCTTCAATTCGTCCAGAGTTCGGGGCTTGTTCGCGTATACTCTAGCCTCGAGGTGTCCCCATAAGAACAAATCGCATATGGATAAATCTGGGGACCGAGGAGGCCAATGAACATCGCTGGAACCACACACGTCGGATTGGAACACTCGCCGTCGTAATTCAGGGAGAAAGAAGTTGGTGATCATGTCGGCGTAGCGCACTGAGTTCACGCTAACATCACGACCATTACCGCCTCCGAAGAAGTAAGGGCCAGTGATGCAAGTTTGCGATACAGGGCACCAAACCGACTCTTTTGCGTGTAACTGTTGCGGATTTTCATTAGCCCAATAACAACAATTCTGCTGGTTAACCATGCTGTTTAGGTGAAAGTGGGCTTCGTCACTCGTAAACAAAATGAGGTTCTCATTTTGATCGATCAGTGCTTCCATCTCACGTGCGAAGTTCATTCGTTGTGCATAATCTCCGGGCTGTAACTGTTGCACAATGGCCAATTTGTAGGGGTGAAAGCGGAGATCCATATCCAAAATTCGCCTTACCGAACGATCACTAAGGCGAAGTGCAGTAGCATGTTTCCAGGCAGATCGAGTCGGACTGCGAAGAAAGACCTGTCGAACGCGTTCAACATTTTCAGGAGTTCGAACTCGCGGCGCTCCTATTGGTCTTCTGTTGATCAGTTCACCACGCCTGCGAAGTGATTCAACCCAACGAAGGATGGTGTTTCGAGAGGGAACTGCTCTATTCCGATGAATGTTGAAGTGGCGACGAAACTCAAGCTGTACGACGATGACTGCTCATTATTTCGGACGAAACAATCATAGGCGAAAACGCGGTGCTCCACCGTCCAAGGCTCCATAACGACAACTGGTGAAATAACGCTAGGATCTCAGGAGTCAAACGGCACCCTCCCCACCTCTCTCGTAGACGGAGGCGGAGAGTACTACCCATACCAAAAACGTCCGTCCTCTCTGCAGCACCCTGTACATAGGACTTTGATCATTGAATAATATAACGTCTTTTACTAATAAATACGTTACATTTACAACCCCCTAACCCCTACAATCCCCAAGTTTCAACCCATACAATTTTTTCAGAAAACGATTAGGAGGCTCTGAAGATTCTAAAACCCAGGTCTCAAGCGATTTTTACTTTTTCTTCTCGCGTTTCTGCCCCCCGCCACCACTAGACGATTTTCAAAAACTATAAAGCTTTTTCTACCTGGCGTTGACAGATCCGTCAGAATTGGGTGTCACTTGTCGATATGGGGAATTTTGAAATATTACTAGATTCAGCTGTAACTTTATCGTAATAGATACTCGTAAAAAAGAAAGAACACGGCGTTTTGCTGACTTGCATAAAGAATGGCAAAGTAAATTTTGCACTGCAAAACTGTATAGTGTGAGAAATCCCATGATATGCCTTTTGTGTAGAAAAACTTACATGGTCTGCATCAATTCCCTACCAGCTTGCTACTGGACCTACCTGTAAAAAAAGTAGATATTATTTTTAGAATGATAGCGATTATTGTTCAAATAGTGCATTCAGTTATAGTTTCAGCAGGAACTATGATATCAAAAAAAATGTTTATAGTATAAATTGAATGTGTGTCACTTTTCGAGCTGTTATTCTACCGTAATGGACATTCGTGAAAAAGACAGGAATTTGTCACTTCCAACTTGAACTCCTGGTCTATAAATTCTTTGTTAGATTGTCAGCCTGCCAAGCCATTGGCCTATTGTCAACCGTGATAAATTTGAAATCATTTTATGGATGTGTTCCACAACCTAGTTATTGACTCTGATTGTGATTATATTAATGCTGTCTATTAATAATTACCAAACGTTGAATAATTTGTTAATACTTGAGAGGTACAAATGGTAGGCAATGTCTTATTGCTTTGGTAGCGGTGCTTGTCAATATTGGCATGATTCTGCTAACAGTAAGATAGCACTGTGTAAGTTTCACTGAGGCATTTCATGAGATCTATTTCGACTCTTTCCTTGAATGTATACAGAAATCCTAGATTAAATTCGTGAAATTGGTGATATCAGTAAAATGCCACTCGATACTATAGTAGTACTATACGAGACAATCAGACATTCATATGCGCTTATTCACTTCTGAAATGTGAAGAATTTTGTTACACCTTGTATTATACATTCATACACCTCGTTTGCCCTAAAGGCCTGCTGACTCTCTACGTATACCAAGCCTACATCTCTCACCGACTCTGTTACACAACACAAATAATTACTCAGCTTTTAAACAATGCTATGAACATGTGTCGAATACCTCGTCCGCAAAAAATCTTCAATTTAATACCTAGAAAATGGCGATTACATCATTTTGTGTGTTGTCTCCTTATATCCCACGATATGTAACAGATTCCATCTTCCTGGTTGGTGAGATTAAAGAAGGTAAAGATATGCGCTGAATTGTGATTATATGCTCGGTAGTTTGGGAAAAAGAACAAGAAGAAGAAAGGCCTAATTAAATTTAAGACCATCTGTGATATCTTCTTTTGCTGGGAAATAATCTTCCTCCACTTAATACGTAATTTGTATATAGGGAAATTTCGCTTCAGCCATGAGTAACTATTGTAAAGCTTCCTATAGATTTAATACTTATTATATCTCTTGTATACAGGATGTTCCAGATAGGACGTAGGATTTCCAAGTTGAATAAAAAAATACTACACATTTAATGAAAAATGTTTTTATTGTTAATGAAGCATCATATATACGGATTTATTTTTCATAAGATACGTAATCCTTGCTTGGGGAATCCTACAGGAAGAAGAGTCAACGGAAGTCATGTCTGGCAATCGCAGTGGCTATGCAGTACCATCAATGTCGAGTCAAAGGATGTTGGATCAGCGTGGAAAGTAAAAGAGCTAGGATGAGGAATAAGAGAAAGTTTTCATATATTATATTTACTTGTATACTCTATCCTGACATGAACCAATAATAAATTGAGGATCCTTATTATGCTTTCATTTCCTAAATCACAAGGATGGATTTTACTATTGACAGGCGGGACCCAAAATTTGCGCCTTTAGCACAAACTGGACCAATGAGAAGGCGTCTTTGATGTCGTCTAATGAATTTGGTCGATTTCTTGTAAAATTTCTCTCAAACTAGAGAAAAATTATACGATTTGCGTAAGATGGGTTCCTAATTCTCATATTAAATCACGAAATGCTTCATATATCACATAATTCAGCTACAAAAAACCTATTTTTCGTTTGTGTCCTATTTGAAACATGGATCAAACCTGATCCAATAGATTGAACTGATGCCATTACTGATCATTTCATTGAAAATAACAGTGTCTCACTGTTGCTAGAGCAAATTCTGGCTAATGAATTCTTTGAAGCCATACATAAAATTACAGAATGCTTATTATTTAACAAACATCGAGTAAGTAAGAAACCGTGCGAAAGCCCTGTTCCTTAAGTCAGCTCTGTTACGAACAACAGAGAGATGTCGCGCACTCTACTGTTATGTTTAATAATTGCTGTCATACCAATCTAGACATTGTGCCAGATTTTTATCCATGCTTCGAGTATGCCGAAAATTCAGAAAAAATATTGGGAACAATAGCTTCTAAGCATCCCTGTAGAGACCTGTTTAAACTGTTGAATATAATGACAATGCACTTACTTTACTCTACCTGCCTTGTCTATATTAAAGAAAATTTGAGTTCTTTCTGCATAAATAGGAGATCTATTTAATGTTATGAATTACGCCAGACACAAGACGTACTTATACCCCACACAGACTACCTTTATCTTCAAAAGGGCTCAATGCTATGGCTATATATGTTGTACAACAAGTCACTATACCAAACGCCTCTCTTTTTAAGGAAAATAATGACAATTATGTTCAATAACCCTTTCTATAGCATTAAGAAATGTTTAAATTGTGTATTTGAATGATGTTCTCTTTTGTATTCATCAACTTTTGTCTCACATTTTGATCTCATGTGAGTCATTCTACTCGTTATACGTGATTTTATATGTACACATGATATACCTGAAATTGACAATTCTAATACTACTAATTGTGTAGTCATCCAGAAATAAAGTTATTGTTATTCATGGCCGTTAATTTAGTGTCCGCGTGCAAATGAAAAGATTTTGTAGATAAACCTCGTAATTTAACGTATGTCTTAATTTAATATGAGAATAGGATCCCATCATGAACAAACCGCATAATTTTTCTCTAGTTTAATAGACATTTTACAAGAAATCGACCGTATTCATTAGATCCATTACTTGAAAGACGCCTTCTCATTGGTTGAATTTGCGACCCACTCACTTTTTTGCGCGTTGGTTTAGTAAAATCGGGCTTAGATGATGGCAACATAAACAAAACATAAAACGCAACGGCAATATCGAATTTTATAGCATCAAGTTCCATTGGCACAGATGCAACATATTAATTGCTATATTGAGGTGTCATACTGCTACAAGCGTAAATCACAATGCACTTTCTTCAATTTGGCACAGTTACTGATGAGGAATTTGCATTATCTCTTTGAGAAGTTTCTATGATAATAATTGGGTATATTTGCTGTGTTAGATTGAACGCGTAGAAAGACAGAAATAGTCAAAATGGGAAATGTTAAAAGCTCCTCATGTCCATAAAATATTTGCTTAACTCTACTGAGTCAAGAATTGGTAATAGTATTCCTAGAGGGCCCTTCAGGTCTTTAGCATTGCAATCTATTTGTACTTCCTATGCCAAAACTGACGAGGAAGTATTGTAATCGCGAAAAATTTCTAAATTGATATATTATTTTTAGTTGCTTTTTTCAGTCTGTGTGCGGGTCTATCAGCTAATTTTATAACCGTCTATAACTTGAGAAGTACCGTTTGGATTTTTATGAAACTTTCACATAATGTTACTACTATGCCAATTATAAAAAAGCTTTTTAGTTTTTGGAAATCGATCAAGTGGTGGCGAAGCTAGGGGCGAAACAAGAAAAAAATGAAAAACGCTTCAACTTCGTTTTTTGACGTTTCAAAAGCTCCCGATCATTTCGGTCAAATTTTTCTTGGGGGTTTGGGTTTATGAGGGCTATGGGGTTGTAAATGTAACGTCTTTAGTATTTAGTCAAACCCATTCGATCATAAAAGCTTATGATTCCAATAACAAAGGGAAAACTAAATGATAAAGCTCGTATGAAGAATGTGCTCATAATTCGAAATGGCAATCGTTCGCGTTGCGTGCATTTTGCGATAGTAGAAATATTTACTTTTTTTAGCCGTATTTGAATATTAGGAGTACGTGTCACTTTAGCGTTCTGCGATGTTTTTTTAATTTATTGATCCTTAAATGTAACCCATTTCGCCTAACCTTTAATTTGTGTTACCGTCTATGATGGTTCTCTGAATTTTTGTCAAGCAGCTGGACTCAGCACTCATGACGCATCACAGACTGACAAACCGATATAAATGAGAAATACGGACTTGCGTGACGCAGATATTTTTAAGCAACAGAAAACTTGTGAACCGAAGTTCGAATATTATCTTGAGCTTAATACGTACTTCCATCGCTTAGGGAGTCGCAGATTTTGAAAATTCATTCAGAAGCGGCGGAAATAAAATCGCTCGAACATAATGTTAAGACGTTTCAGAGATTCCTGCTCATTTTCAGACATTATTTGGAGGGGATGAAAATTGTAGGTTGGAATCTGTATGCGGTAAATGGTTGAAAATATTGCATATTTAGTGTCAATGAAAGACCTTCTATTACTAAGAAGCTGCTTACCTCAGTGAAACTATGTACCTGCTAGACCTAGTAAGTCACACATATTTCCCTACATCTGACATGGAAACAGAAATATGATAGCTTCGCTTTATATAGTTTAATATGCATAGCTCGAAGATTCATCGTACTTCAGTAATCACGATTCGATTCCGCCTTTTGAAACGATTTGATCAATATCTTTTCTTTGAAACATCCAACAAAGGCTTAGAAAGTATAGTGTCAATCTATTTGACGCCATTTTTTTAAATATCCAAACACGTAAAGCAAGGGTATCGCAAAACTGCAGATGCCCGATGCATGGCTTGTGACAGCTGCTGAGTGATTGTTTACTTTCTCATAGAAATGCGTTTTCATGTATGTTAGACTAAACCATTTGCACCTGAATCTGTCTGCAGTTAGCAGAATTTTCAAGCGGCTAAGAGGCGGTTAGACGGCCAACCAAGTCCATTCTTGTTAAGATGACCGGCATTGCACTTTTTTACTTCGTGTTAATTGCAGACATCCTGCTTACTCTACTCGCAGAAGATTACTTACCTGGATTAGAAAAATCTAAGTCATAAGGACATTACCTGCTATACGAGAGTCCTTGTTGCAGTAATAGACCTAGGCATGGTAGTGCGTCCTATGTTACTTTCCTTTGAATCTCTTATTTTTTATAGTGCATTTTATTGCAAAGTATATTGTAAAGTAGTTTCATCAGACACTCTAAATTGTTGTAGTATAGTGCCTCAGAAAATATTGTAACAAATGACCTAATTCCGAACCGAAAATACTGCAAACAGGTAAAAAAATCAATTAAAGATTACGTAATAATCAATATCGGATATCCAAATTTTGACAGACTTTGAGCAATCGATTACCAAGATCAGTTTGGGCAACTACTCGAGAAAGGCAGACCCGAAATTACTTTCAATCGAGTGAAAACAAAATAATGTTCGACACAATTTAATTTCAACAGTGCTTTAAACCTAGTTCGAGCTTAGGACTGATATGATCGCGACCTGGTTTTCTTAAATGAATTGAAATGGGCATATTAATAATAACAATTATTAGTCGTCGGATAGATACATGATATACCTATAACCTGAATTATTGAATAGAAAGATGACTACATCACCATATGATCACAACCTATCCACATTAAGTGAACGAGATTAAAGAACCTGTATATTATTTACAACGTAAAAACTCGGTCTGTCCGCTATTTATCATTATTATTGTTATTATTATCATTATTATTAAATATTATTATTATTATTATTATTCTGTGCCATTTCTTTAGTGCAATAGTAACTATTGCCAGCCACGGTAATTTTATGCACATATCAAACATAGTTCATTCGTAATAGTTTTCCCTATGATCCATTCCTCTGTTATACGTATGCATGAGAAGTGCAGAGTCAACCTTCTTGACGTTATTTTTCTCTATAAGCTAAAATATATTCCATTCTTTGATGAAGACGGAATGTATAACAAATTCTATGGTTTATCTAATGAGAACGCTCTCATAGCTAGAAAAGACACTTCACACATTATTATCATACAATAAATTTTCTACGATTGTTCATAGGTATGCGTGTTTATAGTTTTCCCATCTAAACATAAATATAAATATTCTATTAAGTTATGAATTTCAGGAATCTTTAGGTACTAATCTCTTCCCTCTTCAAGCTTAGAAGGAAATTCAGGAAGCTAAAGCTATTACTGCTGTATCTTTTATTGACAATTCAAGTGGACAAAGACGCGTGTCTGTAAGTCCTTGCATGTAGCATTTTGATTTTACTTTGTAATGCCAAATAGTTTCTAAAACTTGAACTTTCACAGGACTTTAAAGTGAGTCAAGAGGTGCATTTCTTTGCAGAAACAGCACGTAGCTAAATACCGAGGCACCCCAGCTGCTATAACGAGCTCAAAACACTTTGGAAGTTTTCACAGGAAGTCAGCTGATTTAAAGCTTTAATGTGTCGTCTTTAAATCAGGTTTGACTCCCTTTCTTTTGTAAAATGTTTTACCTACTAGTTCCGGTGCATATTTGCAAGTAAGCTTAACCCTACAGCATACGAATTCCTTCTAGAATTTCGGCTAGTCGGAGTCCAGATCACCGAGGACTCTTGTCATCTCGTGAATAGCGGCAGCTGCTGGGAAAAAGCTGTCCTATTTGTTTAGGGCCAAAAAGTACTTTTCTCCGCATGACCTCCTCACTCTATATA